TTACATTGGAAATAAGAACAAATGGATGCTAAATGCTTGAGCTAAAAATCTCTACCTTAAAATATCAATTGTGTATTGTATTATCAATTTCTTTTTCATTGTGTGATAGAAGTATTAGCTGTCTTCCAGGAAGTATTTTCCTTTCTTTCTTATTACAAGAATATTGGTTTCATTGAAGAAGCAAATGTGTCCACTTACATATTCATCATACTCGATTCTGTTCTACCTAGTGGTGGCCATGTGAGCCAGTTCTAGTGGTGGACATCCATCAAGTGGATGTTTACAGGAGCTATTATTTTCCTAATACAAAATGAACAGACTTAGCTGCCATGCACATTTTGTTCTCACCAACATCCTTCTTTCTGCTCTAAGCACATGCATGGATATGAAGAAGCTCACTGTCTGGGCAGTGGAGGGAGGGGAGAATGCCCGTTTGCTAAAGATGGCAGAACAGGAAGCTAGAGGAATCTTGGTCCTTCATAATCATTGAGCAACTATGCAGAATAACTGCCTATCTCTAAACGTTTTGTTAGATGATACACATAAAATCCTTGCTTAATTAGATTTCTAGTACATGTAGTCAAAAATGCAATCACTGCCATTAACACTGATTCTTGGTCCAGATCACATCCATCTTTAAAATGTTACATATATGATGATACAACTATAACTATAAATATAGACGTATATATATCCCTCCATTATATATTTTTTGATAACTAAGCAGTTCAAATTTCTAAAGTAACTTGAGTTCATGCAGCAAAGAAAAAACCCGTGTTTTCTCCTACTTCCCTAAACAAGAGTATAGCACTTTATGCCACAGTTAAGAATAAGCAAGAGCCTTCTGGACATTTGTACTGTGTTATGGGAAAGATGCAACTGCACTGCTAGATTTGTTTATTTTCAAATGAATATACATTTCTTTAACTTCCATATTGATACCCTCCTGACAAAAGAATGACTTATAGAAAATAATTGGTGTGAACACTAGTAAGACTCATTATTTTTAGTTTTCATAATGTTCTTATACTCATTAACAAGTGCAATGAGCCGAGCTTGGGGGGTCAGCCTGTAATCCCACGCTTTGGGAGGCTGAGGCGAGTGGATTGCCTGAGCCCCTGGGTTCAAGACCCGCCTGGGCAACTTGGCGAGACTTCATCTCTACAATAAATCAAAAAAATTAGCCGGGCGTGGTAGCGCGTGCCTGTATTCCAGCTACTTGGAAGGCTGAGGCGGAAGGATCGCTGGGCGACAGAGTGAGACTCCAACTCAAAAAAAAAAAAAAAATTTAAAGTTAACATTTAAAAAAAGATTTCCGGCCAGGCACAGTGGCTCATGCCTATAATCCCAGCACTTTGGGAGGCCAAGGCGAGAGGATTGCCTGAGCCTATGGTTTCGAAACCAGCCCTGGCAACTTGGTGAGACCTCATCTCTACAATAAATAAAAAAATTAGCCAGGTATGGTGGTGTGTGCCTATAGTTCCAGTTACTTGGAAGGCTGAGGTGGAAGGATCACCTGAGCCCAGTAGGTTGAGGCTGCGGTGGCCGGGAGCATGCCACTTCCCTCCAGCCTGGGTGACAGAGTGAGTCTCCAACTCAAAGAATGAAAAAAAAAAAAAATTTCCCAGCCAGGTGCAGTGGCTCATGCCTGCAATCCCAGCACTTTGGGAGGCAGAGGCAAGAAGATTGTCTGAGCCCAGGGATTTGAGACCAGGCTGGGCAACATGGCAAGACTACATCTCTATGATAAATCAAAAAATTAGCCGGGCATGGTGGTGCGTGCTTGTAGTTCCAGCTACTTGAAAGGCTGAGGCAGAAGGATGGCCTGAGCCCAGCAGGTGGAGGCTGTGGTGGCTGTGAGCATGCCACTGCACTCCAGCCTG